TTTCCTCAGTAGAAGGAACAAGAGGTTTATTATTTTATGTTAAATATAGAATTTCAAACCTCTCACAAACAATTTTTGAATTGTCTTTTTACAGTAGAGCATATTCATTTATAGAGTCTACTGAGTTTTCCTCATTCAATTGTAGCTCTACTATTTTGACTTCACAATTCTCTTGAAAATGTCTAGTACATAAATAATCAATTAAATCCATATGAAAACATGCATCTTTGTTTCATTTAAAATGACACTTCATAGATTTTAATACATTAAATGTAACTTGCTGATCATTTACCCTCATAGTTAGTTTACTTTTTTGCACATTTATCATAGCTCATTTAGTGGCTAGGAAAAATCTACCTAATATTATGAGAATTTCATTATCTTTCTACATGGTTGAAATAATGAAATCAATATGAAAGATAAATTTATCCGCATTTACAATAACATCTTCTATCAACCCCTTAGATAAGTCATAGATCAATCAACTAATTGAAGAGACATAGTAGTAGGAGACACCTCTCCTAATTCTAACATATTGAAAATAGATGGTGGCATAAGGCTTATAATGACTCCAAGATCACAAAACACTTTGCCATAAAATCTCTCTCCAATTACACAAGGGATAGTAAAGCTCTCAGGATCCTCAAGCTTTAGAGGAAGCTTCTTTTGAATGATGACACTGCACTTCTCACTGAGTGTTACTATCTCATAATCTCTAATCTTCCTCTTCTTATAAAGAACATCTTTCACAAACTTTACTTAACATTTGCTCTAGAGCCTCAACTAAAGGAATGTTAATAGCCATTATCTTAAATACTTACAAAAATCTACAAAATTGTTGGTCAAATTTTTGTTTCTGAAGTCTTTGAGTAAATAGAGGTGGTGTTTTTTCTAAATTAAACTTAGTGGTGAGACTATTTTTTCTAAGTCTTCATAAATATCTTTCATAGATTTTTCAGATTCAACAATCTTCTTTTAAATTTCAACAACTTTTCGAACTACATCCTCAAATTCTTTTTTAGTCATTAATTTAACAGCTTTAACATGCTCACTATTATTTTCCTTATGATTAATTTCAGTGTTACTAGGACCAATTCCTTGGGGTCAATTGTAAGTGAGTTAGCAATTTGTCCCAACTGGTTTTCTATGTTCCTAATTGATGCACCTTAATTTTGCAGTTGATTCCACATTTGCAAAAAAACTTCCTCTCAATACTTCTCTTCTTAAATTGTGGGTTAGAGTTAAATTTTAGAGGATAAGAATGTATGTAGTTGGCACTACCCTGATTATTTCAATTTTCTGATGGATTTGCTTGGTTATTTTTCCATTATTGGTTTCCCCCACTAGAGTTGTTGTTCCAGTTAAATTTAGGATGGTTTTTCTAACCCGAGTACATAAATTGGAATAATGGTTGTTAGATGTGTTGTTAATTGCATTTAGGGTCTCAAATGATAAAGTATTAGCATCAACCAGTTGTCCAAACAAATTTTCCTCAATTATTTAAGGTACTTGAGGTTGATTCATTCTATATTGGTCTGGCTTCCTAGATATGACTACTATCATAGAAGTTAGAATCAAAAGCACATCTATTTCATGTACACATGCTGCCTTCCTAGGGTATACTCTTTTAGAAGGCCATTGAATATTTCTCAATCAGGGAATAGGCCTCATCAAATGACCTGACAAGAGTGATTTGCCAATGACAACATCAATAATATAGATCTAAGGGATCCTACTAAACAATTATAAAAATTTGAATAATTAACCAATCAGACAATGCATGATGTGGAAAATTCCTAAGAAACTTCTTAAATTGTTACCAAGCCTCATATATTTACTCACATTCGTGTTAGCAAAATGAACTAATATCATCCCGCAACAGTTGTTTTTTAAGGTTTAAAATACTTAGCTAGAAATTTTTGCGATAATTCACCCTACGTTCTAATTGACTGAGATGTTAATAACTTCAACCACATTTTTGCATTATCCTTAAAAAAAGTGAAAAAGCCTAAGCCCAACAACATCATCTGACACGTCATTATAACGAATTGTTGTGTAAAGCTCCAAGAAACTTGTTAAATGTAAATTTGGATCCTCATACCGGATTCCCCCAAATTGGTTGTTATGCAACATTTGTATGATAACAGACTTAAATTAAAATGTAGTAGCTTCTACAACAGAGGTTTGTATACTTAAGTAAATTTCATATGTCGTATGATTATTGCAATCCCTTAACGATCTATGCTCGTTATGATTATCATTACTCTATTCTTTGGTATCTAAATTGATTTGTTGATTGTTCGTCATTTCTTCTACAAGTTTGTGAAGCCTTTTCTATTTTATAATTCTCCTAATAGTTCTCTCTAGCTCATAATCGTAGGGTTCAAGTCCTGTAGATCCTAAGCTACACATTTGTTGAGTAAAGACTCAACTTGTAAGGTTTCACACTACACAAACACACAAAAATATTTTTTTAATTTTTTTTTAAAACAAAAAAGTGATTATACATAGAGACTAATAATACAGATTTCCAAGTTAAGGTCTAAATGGTTCAACTAAAATTATCCTAAGTTAACTACACCATCACTCCCCGATAACAACTTTAATTCCAAGTGCAAGGGTCTCGGGCAAGTATACGTGTCGCATTAGTAATATCAGATTTTGAGTCTGAAATAAAATCCCACGGGGAGTGAGGGAACTACAGTTAAAAGAAATTCTAGTATATTAGGTTTAGTTCTTAGCCTGAAATTGGAATTAAGTAGTGATTATACAAACTACTTCTATTGAATTGTAATCTAGTTTAAAGGTTAACTCTTACATAAATCTTGTTTATTCTAATTTGTTTGGTGATTATCAAGTTCCAAAGCTACTTTCCCTTGCAATGATTTAAGTGGTAGTGTAGAAAATGTAAAGTGTCAATTGTGAATGTGGCTAGTGACAAATTGAATCAACTCTTCTATTTACCCTCTATCGAGTGCATAAAGAAGTTTGATTAAATTGATTTTAATTCCTTAAATCCCAATTTGAACCCATCAAAGACTATATCACATTTGCATCTCCCTATAAAGTACTTACACCATACCCTATAGATCAATGTGAATAACCTAGTTGTTCTTCCATAACTCTCCCAAGGCATTATGGATCAAAACACATTTTAACTGATCACTTGACTAAAATGAAATTCAAAAGGTTATCCATCACATTCAAGATTAAAATCCAATTTTTGAAGCACTTTGCGCTCGTACACAACCTACTCAACCATTTTAAGGAAAAGTAAAAGAGATATATCCATATGAATTGTGTCATCCTTAGCTCTAAATCACATCTACTTTGCTCCACTTCTAAAATATGTTGTACCTACAAGAAAAATATATAAATAACTTTTTTTAAGTGTACTTTCATCATTAAAAATGCACAAAATATAAATGAATTCAAACATTATTTTTAACACATCAGTGAGCCTACAAGCTCGGAGTTAGGCTCGCCCAATGGCTCGGCTTAAAGAAAAAATATTTTAAAATCTTCACATAACGTTGAATTCAAACCTGCGCAGAAAAGTAAAATTTTAAGGTGTCACGCCAATTAAGCCATGTTTAATTTTTCTGATATATAAGGGTGTTAAAATATTTTATATTAAATGCATAATGTTATATATATATATATATATATATAAACAAATACAAGGTGGTCAAGATTTTACAATTTTCGGACAAAAATGTTGATCTAACTTGAAAATAGAGGGATAATTGAGATGCCACCATCAAAATTCAATAATACAACATGAATCTCAAGATGCAACATGAATCTCAATGCGAATTTTTTTAACTTAGATAAAAATTCATCTGAAAGTCTGATTTTAGCATACTTTAGGTTAAATTGATCAGCTCAACGAGATAAACATAGTGATACTAAAATTGGTCCAATCCGAGTCAAATCAATATATGATCAAGACACTAAACAACTTTTATAAGCTTTCCAGTATATTTGAAAGATCAAACAAATGCCGAATTTGACGAGCTTATGTAGAATCGAGCATCTCGACAAGATGAATCCAATATCACTTAAATTCCAACATTATTAAAACATTCAAATGTCTATTAAATACCGTCTTATCGAAGAAAACCCGCAAAGCCTTCCGATCAAAGTGGGTTATATTATTTAATTAATTACAACCAAGGCTCTATAAATATAACCATTCCAGGGGGGAGGAGAGCCTGATGCCTGAAGAAGAGCTCGATGCATTGAGAAAGTGCTGGAGACCAACATTACTCTTGCCATCGTCTACCACCGTTTGTTGGCCCTCGCAAATCATCATATGCAGCTACCTCTTCTTTGCAACAAGATCGTTCGTGCATTGACGTTCCAATTCATAGACCTTGTAACCCTCTCTTGTTTGTGGGATAGGGGGTCTTCGTGATCATCAATTTATATTGAATTTTTACAATTAGGCAAGACTTTATCACATTTTTCTTCTGAATTTTTCATGTAAAAACTCTCGGTGTCTCAACTCGTTGTTTCTTTAATTTGAGTGTGACTGAATCTTTGTACGATGTTAATACAATAATTTATTACTCTACGCCACGAATCTTCTAACACACATCAACACTTTTATTGCTCCTATATTTTAAAATATGATCATAAAATAAAAATTTAATTGCTAGTTGATTTATATTTTCAACCCAGATCTTATTATAACAAGTAATTTATATTTCTTAAAAAAAGGTTATTACTTGAGCAACTTAAGCTTTTATGTTGAACCAGTTTTTTAGTTTTTTTTAATTATACTGCTCTAATTAAATTCTAAAAGGTGCAATTAGAATTCAACAAAATGAATTCCATAGCAACAAATTAAAATATGAATTTAATTTAATTAAATTAGTATGTTGAGAAGGGGAAATCAGAAAGGCGCATAGAGAGCTTGATCAAATGAAAGGTGCATCTACCTGCATAAATGGCGGACATAGATTGCTGATTCATCACTCACTGATTTGTTCCGCCATTCTGCAGCAATCCCTCACAGAACTTCCATGATCAATGCTCTCCACGCTCCTCCCTGACGAACTCTTGGCCGCGTTCCGATAAGCTTTTCGCGACTCTATATCTTCAAGGTATTGATCGGGATCCCTACTGGTTTATTCCGTCGTTAGGTCCTTCTCCGTGTAAACGGCTATTTATTTCTCTATTTATTCAATCAGAGCATCCGATAGTGCTGTTCTTCATCAACGACATCCAAACTTTTGAGTTTATGAACGACATTTCAACTGTTGTTTTTCTTTCTCTTACTTAGGTGATAAATTCTTGCAGGGAAAAAAAATGATCAGAGGCCCCTTAAGATTTGATCAAGAGACAAGAGTGCTAGAAAATTATTCATAAACAACAAACAAAATTATATAAAAACAACTAGAGGGCCAAATCTTGTTTTCCAAAAAAAAAAAAAAACGGAGAGAGAGAGAGAGATGATTTATTTCTTGAGTCTGAGAAGACTTGTCTTTTGGGGATTTTATAGAACCGTCCTGCAGTGTCTGTAGAACAAAAGAAGAATATAACTTATATTTTATACAAAGGCCTTGTAGCGTTTATAATTTTTTTTTTATTCACGAGTGATTGCCCATCAATCCTCATTAGATTTTATATCATGACTTCACGAGCCCTTAGTTTAATTATTTTTTCTTTCTGCATCGTTTGGCTTAATTTTTTCTGTTGGTCCAATTTGGTTGCAAGGTAGGGGTGCAAACTGAGAAGTTGGCATGGGCACAGCTTCTTTGGTTAGCTCTATAACTGTGGAACATGTTTGTACTAATTTGGCGGAAGAAGTGGGATTATTGCACAGAGTTACTGAAAATTGGAACTTCCACTTCAGTTATAGGTTATGATCTCAACAAATAATTATCTCTGAAGTGATTAATCTTGTTTTCAATTAGATTGCACTGTTGGACTGCCAAACAATAGTGGGAAGAAGAGATAAAAGCAGTATGTAAACTAATCATGGGATCCCTTTTTCATTTTGTATTAATTTATAAGATTTATTGTTTTCATTTTGAATGAGAGTCAATGGAGTAGAGCTGTCCAAATCGGCCTTGCTTGCAATCATCTATTTGATTTATGTTCATATTTGAAGCGGGTATAAGTTTAATAATGACAAAAGTCTAGTTGAGATTTGATAATAACATATTGAAATGGCTTATATTACTTTTTGGGGAGATGAACCATGTGTTAGTTCATTACTTGCATGTCATTTTATATAGAATTTTCTCAATTGTGTTTTATATTGAGGCAAGTCTTACTTGGGGGCATGCTTGGGCTAAGTTTGAATGATGCCATTTTAGAGCTCCTATAATTATATAAAAACAACTAGATTTGAGTTTTGGAATTAAATTTTTTAAATTTTTATTAATGTTCACCAATAACTATCCAAATACATATTCTTTTAACATATTGTTCATAAAATCTAAAAGTAAAATAAGAGTCTTCATTTTGCATTTGCATATTGAATCTTCTTGATTTTTTGTATTCTTTTCGGATTGAGCCCTTATAGTTGGCTCATTGTTCACTTGAGTGGCATCTTAGGTCACCTAAGTTTTGGGTTTGGCCGATTCATGTTTTAACTTTCACTTGATGAATTTCATGATCTAACTGAATTTTCTTATGATCAGGCAAGAGCTTTTGCTATTTTGATGGACATTAAATAAGTTTAATTCTCGTCATACGTTCCATCAACTTGTATTGATTACATGCTTCCTTTATGTGTTTGTATTTGAATGATGACATTTAATTGGAAATTTTAATTTCTTATTTTTATTTGAATTTTAGTTACTTTGACCATTTCCGAATTATCTTCTCCAAGTTACAATGCTAGTTTAAATGTTTCAAAAAACCTGCTGACATCATTACTACTCAATATTGTGAAGTATCGTGCCATTTGTTGTGGACCTTTATTTTTGCCTAAACATTTGACTAGCTCGTTGGGTATGACTCAAAAACTTTAAACTTGATTTAAGTTTATATATTAAGAAGTTGAGATCCATAGAATGTTGCACAATTGGAGATGATTTTGGTATGGTAGTGAAGCTCATCTCGGTGCAGATGGCTCAACAAGTGGAGACAAGTGGAGGCAGCGGGCTGCCTGAACTTTCACCAATTTTGATGGTGGAGGCAGCTATTGATGAGCTTTATAACATCAGGGATACATTCTTTTCCAAGGATCCACAGGAGAAGAGTGCTTGCTTACAAAAACATGCCGACGCTGCTCTTGTTCTTGTGGACTCAGCTATCCCAATAGGTGTGGTATACTTCTTCTCCATCTTTTTTTCTCTCCCTTCAGAATAATGGTTTATTGGCTTGCAATTGTCACTTGAAACGGTAGTACTTAATGTGGTTCTGTTTAGCTGCTGAAGTCTTTCCCTTTCCCTTGTGATCCTTTCTTTTGGTTTTGTAGCTTATTTTATGGAGTGTAGAAAAAAAATAATAGTTTCATTCTTTAGTTTTTGTTGGTCTGAAGAACGTGGCATGTTCATCAGTATATTAGATCGCCAAACCATATTTTGTCCGATCATAAAAAATGCTTGCTGCATAGCATTGCTATTTTCTCTTAATGAGCGAGAGGATTTGTAGAGAAACTCATCCAAATCAGCTTATGCATTGATTGGAGAAGTTTTAGAGTTAGACGAATGCCGTGAAACATTTGTATTTGTTCTGTTAAACTTGAACTTATAATTTCGGAAGTACATGAAAATTTGAAGAGTTAAGTAAAAAGGTTCACAACAGGCTCCGACTCATCTTATTAATGGTTGCACCCATTATCTAATGTATCATTTTCTTTGCTAAAACTGTTTTTTTAAATTTTTTTTTTTGCTCTTAAAAAGCCAGCGTTAGGCTACTCCAATGTGATGTTACTGCGAAGCATGGATGCCAGGTAAAACCAATCTCCGACTACTTATGCTCATCATGACTCCTAATTCCTTGATTTAGGTATCTTTTCATATTGTTTGCTCATGATTGCTTAGTATCTCATGTTACGCTTCTCGACGACTCCTTCAACCAGTCAACATAAGTCGTAATAGAGGCAGTCTGATTCAATTGATTGAATACATCTACAACCTTCATTCTCGTATCATACTGACTATAATAGAGTAGAGATAAACTCAATTACTTAAATTTAACTAGGATAACACAACACATTTCCCATATTTACATAATTCTAGTAAAATCAAACTGCCTAAATTAAGTGGAAATAATCTAAAATATTTTATTTGAATATATCTATATAGTGCATTTAAGATTACATTAAACTTATTAGCAAATGGTATAAACTTCATCTATCGATTTACTTTGAAATTTCTTTATCATATAATATGATGTAGCACATCATGGTGGACCAAGGTGGGTCCATCAACACATGAGGTGGACTCGAGGGGGGCACCAAACACCAGTGTGGGACCTACTATTAGAGCCCAATCTAGGAGAATTGCTTTACAATCAGGAGGTCCATTTACCCGGAGTCAAGCTAAATGAAAATTATGAAGATTAACTTGAATGTGTTTCTTTATTATTTCGTTAATTTTTGTGTTTATTCCATGTTGTAATATGGGTGTTTAAGTGTTTGTTTGTGATTTTGTGACTTTATTTCATATAAGTGTTGATCACAAGTCATGATTCTTACTTAGGTGTCATATCTTAGGTGCAAGTCAAAGTCAAGCAAAAGGGGACGACCAAATAAGGAAGAAGGGTTGTATTGTGTCGACTAAGTCAAAGAGGCACTCTAACTACTCTAACTTCTCTCTGCTTTTGGTTTTTGAAATCTTTTGGGAACGAAATTCTTTGTATAAGTGATGCGGGGGTTTACTGAGATGCGGTATTGTAGTTGCTACAGTACCGTGGATGCCCAAAAAGATAGGATTCTCCCTTTCCAAATTTGTCGGCCCCCTTTCCTTTCCTGTTTCTCTTTCTATTTTTATTCCTTACCTATTTCTCTTAGTTTCCTATTTCTATTCCTTCATCTTCCATTCCTTGGCTTTTTCTATTCCCTTGATAATTCTATTTCTTTCCTATTCCAACTATTAGTGCCTATTATAAATATGTTTTTTGCTGTCTTAGGCGGGAGTTTTTTGGTCTTTCAGATATTAGATTTTTGTTAGTACAACCGCTGGAATCCATTTCCTCTTCGAGGGCTGTATCCGAGGACGAGTGGTGCTCCGACTATATCTTGTTCGAGGTGGTGATTTTCTCGAAGGGTTTGATTGCTGCTTTGACTGTAGCTCGACCCCGCAACGAATTTATCCCATTCAACTCCTTTGAAACTTCTTTCCAGCCATCCCCCTTACTGCCGCAGCCCTCGGACAACCCTCCCTTGGCAGTCCCATAGCCCACCACCCTTCCCTTTGCTGCTACCATCACCATATTCACTGCAGCCACTCGATAAAAGCCTTCATCACTGTTTTCCTGCAACAGCCTACCACCTAGCTGTTGGGATTAGTGGAGATTCGGCCCACTATAATAATTAGGAAGTAAATTTATGTCTTATTTGATTTCAGCCTGCATTGCCAACTTCCCTCTCCCCTTGACGCGGTCCCGCCAAATTCTTCCCGCGGTCTCGCCAACTCCTCACGCAGAACTGTGTAACCGCGTGAGATTTTTCCAAAGTTTGTCTCTTCAGGCTTCTTTCTCTTGTTATAAAAGGGGGCCCGCTTCTGACTATCTCACCATCCAAAATACTCTCTTCACAACCACTGGTAGAAAGGAGAAGAAAAGAAAAGCTTTTGTCCTTTTTCCCTTTGGACTCTTGTGCTAGGTGGCATAGGGGTTAGGGGATTCCTTTTGTTTTCCCTTCTTTTTCTTTTGGCTGTAACTTATTTAGAGAGAGGGAATAGAGAGAGAGGTGAAGAGAGAGAGAGAGGAAGGGAAAGAAAAATGGAGATTTTCTTTTGTAAATATCGAGGCGTTCGACGGTGTAATTTCCTCAAGTAGTAAAATCCTCTGCATCCCCGTGGACGTAGGTAAATTTGCCGAACCACGTATATCTTGTGTCGCCTTTTTTTCTGGTGTAATTTTTTCTTGAATTTTTTTCGCCTTACCGCCGTCATTTTTTCATAACAATTGATATCAGAGCCTCGGTTCGGATCTGAGGAAGAACGAGGACCGGAAACGAAGTGAAGGTTTCGAGGATCGAGAAGTTCAACGGTACGAATTTTGGATACTGGAGTATGCAGATAGAGGATTACCTCTATGGAAATAAACTTCATCTTCCACTACTGGGAAAACGACCGGAGAAGATGGAAGAAGCTGATTGGAATCTGTTGGATCGACAAGTTCTGGGGGTTATTCGATTAACCCTATCGAGGTCTGTTGCTAACAATGTCATAAAGGAGACGACGACGACAGATTTTATGGCGGCCTTATCAGGTATGTATGAAAAACCATCGGCGAACAACAAGGTGCACTTGATGAAAAAGTTATTCAACCTGAAGTTGGCGGAATGTGTGTCTGTTGTTCAACATTTGAATGATTTTAACACCATCACAAATCAATTATCATCTGTTGAAATTGATTTTGATGATGAGATACGTGCGCTGATATTATTGGCTTCATTGCCAAATAGTTGGGAAGCCATGAGGATGACAATTAGTAACTCTGCAGGAAAAATTAAACTGAAATATGATGATATTCGTGACTTGATTCTGGCTGAAGAGGTGTGCAGGAAAGATTCTGGCGAGAACTCAGGTTTGAGTTCAACACTGAATGTTGATTCCAGAGGTAGATCACAAGACAAAAATTCAAACATAGGAAGGTCGAAATCAAAGCACAGAAGCAAGAACAAGTCAAAACCTGGTCAGCAAGCAACCTGTTGGAATTGTGGCAAAACTGATCACATAAAAAACTGCAAAAATCCTAAGAAGATGGAGAACGTCAGTGCTAATATGGTATCTGAAGAATCATAGGATGCACTACTGTTGGTAGTTCATAGACTCATAGCCCCGTTGACGACTGGATACTGGAGTCAGGGGTTCCTTTCATACATCTCCTCAGCGATAGTTAATGAAAAACTATATTACAGGTGACTTTGGGAAGGTGTACCTGGTTGACGGAGCAGCTTTAAACGTGGTGGTGATGGGAGATGTTGAAATTGCACTCCCTAAAAAAACAAATGGATCCTGTAAAAGGTTAGACTGTTAGACATATTCCTGAACTGAAAAATATCTGTTGGCCAATCTGATGAGGTGGGCAGTTCGATAAGGGAGGACATTCAATAGTGTTCTCTGATAACACCTGGAAGGTTACCAAAGAAGCCCTGGTACCGACTCATGGTAAAAAGACTGGTACGCTGTATATGACCACCGATCTAATTAACAGTGTTGATACTACAGTTATAGAGAGCACAGTAGACATGCGACATTGCAAACTTGGACACATGAGTCAGAGAGGTATGACCGAGCTTCAGTCCAGAGGCAAGCTACCAGAACTGAAGTCAGTTGATCTCTTGGCATGTGTGAAAGTTGTATCATGGGAAAACAGAAGAAGACCAGGTTCCTGAAAGGTGCAGGGTATCAAAGGCTGTAAAACTAGAACTGGTACACACCGATGTGTGGGGGCCTTCTCAATTGGCATCTCTTGGAGACTCTCGCTATTACGTCACATTCATAGATGACCACAACAGAAATGTATGTGTTTACTTTCTGAAGTATAAATCTGATGTATTTTCTGTGTTCAAAACTTGGAAGACCACGGTTGAAACGAAGATAAATCTAAAACTAAAACTGAAATGTTTGAGATCTGACAATGGTGTTGAGTACATTGATGGTGGGTTCAAGGAGTACTGTGCAGCTCAGGGTATCAGAATAGATAAAACCATTCCGGGGACACCACAACAAAATGGACTTGCAAAACACATGAACAGAATCATCAATGAGCGTGCTAGGAGCATGAGATTGCATGCCGAACACCACCAACCTTCTGGGTAGATGCGGTCATCACTGCAGTTTACTTGATCAACAAAGGGCCATCCGTCCTATTAGACTGTAAATTACCTGAGGAGGTCTGGAGCGGCAAAGAGGTTAAATTTTCTCATCTTAAGACTTTTGATTGTCTTTCTTATGTTCTAATCAATCATGATGCACGTAACAAGTTTGAGGCTAAGTCAAAGAAATGTTATTTCATTAGCTATAGAGACGAAACATTCGGTTATCGTTTCTGGGATGATCATGATCGGATCATCAGAAGCAAAAATGTGGTCTTTAATGAGAAAATGATGTACAAGGACCATGCTAGTACAAAATATAAAGTAGC